GCTCATACAGGAGAAGATCCCATTATTGCTACTTCAATTCAGTTTTATGGGCTCTCACAGCAGCCCTACAAATGTTGGAGAATTCTCTGTGGTTCTATGAAGTGTGAACAGAGCACTGGGGAAAATATGTTGACCCCACCCCACCCCACATACACACAGATCAGCCCTGAATCTTTGGGAGTCCACAGCTCCAGCACATTTTTTAGAAGTACTGAAAAAGTTTAATAAATAAATGAAAAGAAAGTAGACTTTAGAGTCTACCATAATCATGTTTGATGCTTAGTTTCTATTAGTGAAACTAGTTACTTAACTGTTTGAGCTCCATTTCTTCATTTATAAGTGAGTGTATGTATGACACATAATATTAAACCTAGCTACCATCGGATCTGCTGGGTCATCCAATCAGTTGAATAGAACAAAAGGCTGACCCTCCTACAAAGAGAAAATTTTCCTAATGGCCTTTGAATTGAAGTGTTTTCCTGGTTCTCCAGCAACTTCTGGCTTTTGGACTTGAACTGGGACATCTCTGCTGTGCAGATTTTAGACTTTCCAGCCTCCATAATCATGTGAACCAGTTCCTTATAATAAATCTTGTAGCTTCTATTGGTTCTGTTTCTCTGTTCCATCTCTTAAAGGTCACCTTCTCAATAAAGCCTTCCCTGACCATCCTTTAGGAATAGAGAACTTCCACTCCCTGTCCCCCCTTCTTCTTTGAGTTTTCTCTATAGTTTTATTTCCTCCCAACATGCTACATATTTCATTTCTTTATTTTACCTGTTGTTTGCCATGAAAACTGTACGGGAGCAAGGTTTTTTGCTCATTTTCTTCCTCGCTGGATTCCCATTACTCAGAATAATGCCTGGCACATAGTAGATGTTCAACAAGAATTTGTTGAATGAGTGAACTCAGGAAGGAAACAAATCACTAATTCAAGGGTTGTTTTTGATCAAATACTTTTTGAGGTCTGCAGATTTCACACATACAATCTATAAGAAATGTGGTTGTAATGGTTTGTACTGCTACCATAGAGTGCATTCCAGAAGGATGTGCAAGAGCATGGAAAGGGAAAGACTTTTAAGATACCTCATGCAGAAATGCAGACACTAGTAAAGGTACCAATAAATGGAGGGAATTGAATGTACTACTGGTGTATTAGTTTCTTGTGGCTGCTATAGCAAATTACCACAAATTATGTAGCTGAAAATGCTAGAAATCCGTTGTCTTACAGTTCTGGAGGTCAGAAATCTGAAATCAAGGTGTTGGCAGGGTCTTCCTCCTTCCCAAGGCTCCTGGGGAGAACTAGTTCCTTGCATCTCCTAGCTGGTGGCTGCCAGCATTCTTTATTGTGCCTGTACCCCTCCAGTTTCTGCCTCTGTGGTCATATTTCCTCTTCCATTTCTGCTTGTGTCAAATGTTTACTCTTAGAAGGACACATGCTATTGGAGTTAGAGCCCACTGGAAAATCCAGGATGATCTCCTCATCACAAAATCCATACCTTAATTGTATCTTCAAAAGCTCTTTTTCCAAATAAGGTAACCTTCATAGGTTCAGGGAATTAGAATGTGGACCTGTTTTGGGGGGGACCATCACTCAACCCACTCCAGCTCTTATAAAAAAAATTGGAGTTTGCTATGATTCCACAACAATTCTTGATTGTGCTGTCTAGCTGCCAATATGGGGTACTTTCTGAGGAACATGGGCCTTTGTCATCAAATCACTAATCTCCATCGTGCTTCCCTAAGAAATCAGACTAATCCATGTGGTAAAGTTTTAAACAGTTCCCTTTTATAGTAAAGATCTTTGCTCAGGAAGCCATCCACTGAAAGAAAGATCAAACATTGTCTTTAAACAAGGGAGTCATCTGTGGGTCATGCTTTCAATCCTGATACTTTCCTTTCATTTCTCACAATCTTATGATAGGGATTTTTATAATCTGGCTCAGGAACTATCATGAGCTTGAATCCATGGAAAAGGAATCCATCTCACTTTGCACTCAAGCTTATAAGATGTCAGTGGTCATCAAGATCATCTTTTAAGCAATGATGCAGCACAAGGACGTGCAATGAAATCCAAGTTCATAATTTCTGGCTATTTTTCCTCGTGCCAGTCTCTATATCTTATGGCTGCATTTTCACCTTCCCTGACACTCAGGAGACCTGAAACCTCTAAATTAAATTTAATTTGTTTAAAGTATCATAATGGGCACTTTTCAGGACCAAGTGTTCCATGATTTATTTAAATTTCCTATATAACTCTCCATTTCCCTGAGTAAGTATAAACAACTGTTCTATTTAAAATTTAAGGCCACAAAATTTTATTACAGCCAGTAATAGTTTCTTTTTTGCTGTTAGAAATGGAACCAATTACATTTCTGTCCTTACATCCTTAGGTCAATAAAATGTCAATTAAAAGATCATATGCAAAGGACAAACAGTATCTACTAGGTGAATTCATAAGTCTGAACCTGACTTTGAAAATTAAATTTTAACTGGAAGAATAGGGAATAAGAATAAGGAATAATAATAGAAATAAATTTGTGAAATTTGTTTCAAAAAATTCATTTATCAAAAAATAAATTGCCATTTCAACTTTTTTGTTTTGGGGCTTTGCTTTCAAGAAGAAGAGGCATATTATGATAAGAGGAACTGGTGGGATTTATTCAACATCCCAATGTCTAAGGTAAGTCCTGAGGGCATTAATATGACCCCACTCTTTTATAATGATGAGAACATCATAGTGATGATCCTAAGGCACTGGAGGCCAAGGGAAAATTATCCAGCTAGAAACAAAAGCAGGGAAATTTTATTTTTTTTTAACATTTATTTATTTTTGGGACAGAGAGAGACAGAGCATGAACGGGGGAGGGGCAGAGAGAGAGGGAGACACAGAATTGGAAACAGGCTCCAGGCTCCGAGCCATCAGCCCAGAGCCTGACGCGGGGCTCGAACTCCCGGACCGCGAGATCGTGACCTGGCTGAAGTCGGACGCTCAACCGACTGCGCCACCCAGGCGCCCCAAAGCAGGGAAATTTTAAATGAATATCGAGAGACAGAAAGGTCACCATTGAACCTGTGGTCAACATTCTAATGAAATATGATATGACTGTCCATCGTGTGGCAGATAGTTGTGTGGGCCAGAGAAAAAGCAGGTTTACTTTCATCTCCCCTTCCAGGTTTCTCTGAACATGAGTATATATTATATGCTCTGAATGTAGTGGAGGGTTCTACCTATGGAAAACAGCATTGCTTCTAAAGGCTGTGTCTGGGGTTATCCCTGTGAAATCTGGGCTACAATATATTCTCTGCCTATATGTCAGTCTTTAAGTAGATTTGATTACAATTAATACATGCAGACACACATTCAAGAGTTTCTCGTGGGGTTCAAACATTTCTTTAAAAAAACAACTATAAAGTTCGTTGCATTTAGACAGGGTACTTGATCTGATACATAATTTAAAAAAAATGCATGTGATGGGTTAGTGGTCCTGTTTCCTCTATCATCCTGAACCATTTGACAGGGAATATTTTTATCTATCAAACATGCATTGGGTGATCCTTACCTGTGCTTTCTTCTCAAGGACATAAATGCAGAATATCACTATTTTATGGAGTAGTCTTCTGTTTTCCTCATTCCCCTTTCCAACTCAGTCCCCACATCACAGAGTAATTCTACTAAAACAGAAATTGGACTATGCATTGAGAATGACTGCTATTGTCCTACGAATAAAGCTCTAAGCCCTTATTGCCTCTTGGAAGGGTCTGCCAGTTCTGACCCTATTTTCTTTCTCAGCCTCATCTCCTTCCTTCCTTCCTTCCTTCCTTCCTTCCTTCCTTCCTTCCTTCCTCCCTTTCTTTTCTCTCTTTCTGTTTTTTTTTCTTTTTCTTTTTACCCATCTCTTTCTCTGATAAGACTTCCTTCATTTTCTCCAATGGTCCCCTTCCTTACATCCTCTAGAAATGATGCATGATGGAGCTAATACCATTTCTTGGTCCAGTGGTTATAAATCAAAGACCACTGACAGTATAAACATTTAAAAGGAGACTTTGGATTATATATGTAGACAATTTGAAGCAATTATCAAAGACAGATGGGCTTCATGATATTTTCTGACAAGACCGTCTATCTGGCATTGGATCCTCTACGTGGTGAAAAAACACCTTTTGCTCCCCAAACTGCTGCTATATGCTTCAGGGATCTCCATCATAATTTCAAATCCCATTCAGTAACGCAAAATTTTACTCCAAGAATCTTTTTTTTTTTTTTTTTTGGTTTGGTTTAAAAACCAAATGGTTTATATGTTCCCAGTTGGCTCTACCCTTTCCATTCATTAATATTAAATTAAATTAAATAAATCAGATGCATGTCAGCAAGAAAACTAAATATCAAAAAGGCTGAATTTTAGCTCCCTTTACTATGGAATTACTGGTCCAATGACTCCTTCCAGGCATGCATCAACATGGAATTCTATGTTGATCAGATGTCCTCAAATCTGCCTACAGAACATTCCAAAAATATCTATTTGCCCCAGGATATAAAGAAAGACAGTACAAACCAAAGTAGGTGGATAGGAACCAGGCTCAGAAATCTTACAGACTGGAAATATATGAGCTCATGTTCGTTCTATCATATCATGGTATTAACCTGAAAAACCCCCTAGCAGCCAGTGATTGGAACTGCCGCTGGGAGGTCAAGGGTGCACACTCCTGAGGTGGGGATTTGCATTTGTGCCTGAATTTAGCCATGCCCAAGAAAACCTGGACAGCATTTTGCTGGCCGACATTCCCTTGGGTCACAGATTTTCCTGATGATTTACTCCTTTGAAGTCACTTAGGCTTAAGGCTAATGCTGAGGACTTAAGAGATTTAAACAAGCAATGCATTTCCTGAGGGTTTTTTTCCCCCCAGATACAATCTTGTACAACAACATTATCCAATGGGTGTTGGCTGAGCTTCCTAAGGTACTTTGTCACAGCACCAGTCAATACACAGGTACAAAAGATGCAATCCTGTTCCTGCAGAAATTCTCAATAGCCTTGTGGCATTTCTGACAGGGAATGGCTCCACGAAGATCTTGCATGTATTTAATCCTGGCCCAATAAGAGGTGGCATATTCTTAATAGTGAGCCCATTCTCAAGAGATGGGGAGACATGATAATAATGAGAGCAGATTGATGCTGGCTTGGCTCAGGTCCCACTCAAAATAATTTTTCATTGTTTCAGCCATTCCGCCTAAGAGAAGGTTAAGAAGATAATTGGCAATGCCGTCAGGAGGGTAAGTGAATTTCCTTGTTTCATGCTGTCAAGCCTTTGAGAGAACTTAATTTGTGTTTTGACAATGGGGAGGATAGCGGGTTCTAGACAGAAATGAGCTTTCGACAGTATCTTTAAAAAATTACAGAAAGACTCTGAGAAAGCGGAGGTTTTGATGAAGCCCTTTGGATTCATGTTAAAAGCTACCTCCAGCATTTCTGGAGCCCTTACCCCAGTCCACCATCAAATCCTAACATGTAGGGTATCCTCCAGCAAGCAAATCAGGCCATGAGCTCTGAAGACACTATTCCTTCCTCTGATTTCCTTTTCCAAAACCACACAGAATGGTCTCTTTCAAAGTGATTTGTGACACTGCTACGTTCCCTCCTTTAGCTCAAGCATTAGCAAACTTTTCTGTAAAGAGTCGGAGAGTAAACATTTTAGACTTTGCAGACTATCGGGTCTGTTACAGCTACTCATTTTGGCAGCTGCAGTGAGACAACAGTCACAGACAATACAAAAAGGAATGGGCATGGCTGTGCTGAATAAAACTTTATTTAGAAACCCTAAATTTGGAATTTTGGATGATTTTCTTACGTTCTAAAATATCATTCTTCCTTTGGTTGTTTTTCAATCATTAAATTTTTTTAAAACATTTATTTATGTTTGAGAGACAGAGGGAGACAGAGCGTGAGCGGGGGAGGGGCAGAGAGAGAGGGTGACACAGAATCCAAAGCAGATTCCAGGCTCTGAGCGGTCAGCACAGAGCCCAATGCAGGGCTTGAACTCATGAACCATGAGATCATGACCTGACCTGGAGTCAGACACTTAACTGACTCAGCCACTCAGGCGCCCCACGTTTTTCAATCACTTTAAAATGTAAAAGTCATTCTTAGTTCATCAGGCTATGCAAAACTGGCAGTAGCCTGGATTTGATTCCTACTTTAGTCAGAGACCTTTCAGTTGAACTTTCTGGGACGGTGCAAAAGTTACATACTGGCACTGTTCAACACTGTAGACACCAGCTACACAGCACTATTGAAATGTGGCTGCTGTGACACAAACACTTAATTTTTAAGATTATTTAATTATTTTAAATTCTAATTGCCACTTGTGGCTCGTGGCTACCGTGTTAGACAGTGCAGCTCCATAATTATCTTTCATATTAATTTGAAAAACACGTTCTTGCCTTTTGCCTATGTTAAAAAAAATAAAGAAACAAATAGATTCTTCTACTTGCTGCTTAAGTTATACAGTTACTGTTCCTTCTGAAAAAATCATAGTTGATGTCTTGGTTTTAATTACATAAGAAATATGGGCAAACACACACAGCATGTGCAAATACATGCACACACATGCATGAAATGCAGCTCTTCACTGAAATGTCATCACTACCAAATTCAGCAAAACAAAAATTGTGGAAAGATGGGGCGCCTGGGTGGCTCAGTTTGTTAAGCATCCGACTTTGGCTCAGGTCATGATCTCACGGCTCCTGAGTTTGAGCCCTGCATCGGGCTCTGTGTTGACAGCTCAAAGCCTGGAGCCTGCTTCAGATTCTGTGTCCCTCTCTCACTCTGCTCCTCCCTCATTCATGCACGCTCTCTCTCTCTCTCTCTCTCTCTCTCAGGAATAAATAACATTAAAACAAATTTTTTAAAAAATTGTGGAAGGGGGGCGCCTGGGTGGCGCAGTCGGTTAAGCGTCCGACTTCAGCCAGGTCACGATCTCCCGGTCCGTGAGTTCGAGCCCCGCGTCAGGCTCTGGGCTGATGGCTCAGAGCCTGGAGCCTGTTTCCGATTCTGTGTCTCCCTCTCTCTCTGCCCCTCCCCCGTTCATGCTCTGTCTCTCTCTGTCCCAAAAATAAATAAACGTTGAAAAAAAAAAATTAAAAAAAAATTGTGGAAGGAAAACTATGCCTATCAATAAGGATAGTATCCTCTTATTCAATATCTACTATGAAAACCCAGTATTAGACAATGAAAACTACTGTATAATATGAACTTAAACTTTTCTACTAGTTTCCTCGATTATTCGTTTCAAAATCCTATACTTCTGTTAAACATAGCTTACAATAATGAGCTTGCAAGACTGACCCAAGGATGTCATGTTCTAAAATAAATGAGGTGGTCATTTCTAAGTAAATGACTGTGCGTGAACCCCAAGCCATCTGAAATAAAATCTCAGACCATCTATGGCCAGTACCTTATGCTAATCCCACAGGTCAAGGCCAAAGTAATTGACTAGTAAAAGACAAACGCATAAAATCACTAACGCTTAAACGGTTTTGGTAACAAGCATCATTTAGCACACATATAAAGTCCTATTCATTAAAATCTAACCCAATTAAAAAGTATTCTTCATCTTGATTAAGACCATTTATGGTGAAACTTCTATCATTACTGGCAGAGGTAATCTAGAGTTACCTAAGGAAATTCTAAAGCAAGAAATGGGGATGGTTGTCTATCCTTGGTAAAACAAAACAAAGCAAAATAATAGGGAAGACGTAGAAGTTCGTGGTGAAAAAAAAAAAAAAAATTCTTGCCCCTACAATTCTAATGCTGTGTTCAGAATAACCTCAGGCCAAAATGCTCCTTGAAAGTTCTCCAAGGCTCCATCTGAGGCCTTTTCTTTCTCTTGCTATATTCCGTTCCTTGGGAACCTCATTCATGCTCATGTCTCCCTTCCACCTTTATACCTATACCTGTATTTACATCTGATTCACAAATCTTTACTTTCCAACGAACTTGTCTCTTCATTCTAAATTGGTATACCTCACCATCTGCATGACTTCTCTCTTAGATGCCTCTAAGGCATTTGAGTCATGCCATGTCCAATTCTGCCCTCATGGCTCCTTCCATCTTTTACAGTTTGGCTGTCTTCTGAAATTCCCTGGGCCAGTGATGGGTGACAATAACCACCCAGTTGCACAAACTTCAAATCCAGGTAATTCTGTGACTCTTTCCCTCCACCTACCACTGACCTAGCACCAAATCCTACCTCTTACATCCTTCTACCTCTCTTTTTCTCCGTTGTTACAAACCAAGTCCACACGGCTAATGTCTCTTGACTGCACTAATAGAATAGCCCTAATCTTTTACATCCTGCTTGCCATTTCTATCCTTTAATTTGTTCTCTTCAATCAATAGGATTTTTTCAAAACTTAAATCTGGTCATATCACTACCTCCACCCAGGCTTAAGACTTGTTAGGATAAAAACCAAAATTGCTAATGTGTGGGTTTCACTTCTGTCCACCTTTCTTTCCCCATTTTTTATTTTCTTCTTTGCTTTGTGTGCACTCTCTACCATGGCCTTTCAGTCCCTTGAACACATAATGGTCCCTCCTACCACACATCCTTTGCATGTACTATTTTTTCTCTCTACAAAGATTTCCCTCCATCTATATACTCTTCCTCACTCCACTGGACCCCACATCATTTACTTACTTAGTTCCTACTCAACTTCAGCACCCAATTCAAATATTACTTGCTCTAAGAAGTCCTACCTGACCTTTTACCCTTTGATACCTACCCCATCCAGACTAGTCTAGATTTTTCTGTAATAAATTTTCCTGGAAACATCATCCTTTCCTTCAGAGAAGGTATGTCAGTTTGTAGCTACACATTCCTTTATGTGATCATTTGTTTTCTGCCTACCTCTCTCACTTCTCCATTAGTTCTGCTAGAGCAGGGACTGTGTCTACTTTTATAAACAATGCTTTCCCCAGAACCTGGTATGGTACAGACACATTAAATGAATTTAAGAAATGTTTAAATGGAGAAATGTACAACAACAAGGATATGGGGATAGTATAAATATATGGAAGCATCTGGGGACGGGAAGTATAAGATGCCAACCTTCTATGCAAGCCCAAGCTACTCCAGGGATATTTCCTCTCTACAGCTGGTTTTGACTTACAGACTCCGTGGCTCAACACCAACTAATATACATGCTATTATAGGGTGTGTGTTGTGTGTGGTTTACTAACTTACTCCTTCCTGCCTCCATGTTACATTTCTGTTTTTATTTCCCCCACATCTCATTTTCCCCATTTATTCTCTATTGATTTTTATCTTTCTATTCTGCGTGCACTATTGTCAGCTGTGTTAGCTGTGCAAACAAAGCTACCTCTAAATAAATAATATTTATAATTATAATAATTAATCCCAATCCTTATCATACCTTTAAAGCTCTGAAGTCCAAAACCCTGAGGACACATTAATTCCAGTGGCTTTGTGATAATCAAGCAGCCAGTTGGTTACTGGACAAATAGCCAGACAAACCTCACTGTCTCAGTATGATTATTTCTTTGCCCTTGAGGCTACATATAGTTTTTATCGCATGCTCTTCCATATCCACTTCATGCTGTCCCTGAATCCCTCTGAATCTGGGCATGTAATAAAAGTAAGATAAATGAAGTAAAGACAGAATCTATTCAGACTCTAGCATCCAATGAAAATAATAGACAGTGAAATCATATTTAAACTTGTGCTGTGATGCCTTTGGATTTACCTTGAAGACATTTTTCTGGGACAGGTAACTGTCCTGGGGTTGGTGGCTGGTATATCAGCGCTGTTTTCCAGGGTCTCCTCTCAGAGATATATTTGCATCCATCTGACATTGATTCATGTAGCCAGATGGCAAAGGACAGAGCTGGGTCATTCCATACAAGGTGTGACCTACTTACAGGTCCAACAATCTGTGGTTTAATACTAAATAAAAGTATTGAGCCTTTGAGTTAAAAAATGCAGTTTGATTACTGTACATGCATCATGAACAGTCTGAATGCAGGATGCATCAGGTGCAACAAACAAAGGGATACGATGCTAAACTGATTCTCCAAGGCTGGGTGATAAGGAGTGTGGTGGGTGTCATTGCCAACTCAGTGAGGTGCTGACAAAGCCGTTAAGAACCAGGAATGAACACTGAGGCAAAATGTCAAAGTGAACAAAATGTCACTAGCAGATAATGGTGATGACCTTATGACTTGGTCGGAAGTATTCCAGGATATTTTGAATGTGTAAAATCTTCAAGGGCCTTCTGAACTATCTAAGAGGTGGTAGAGACCAAATGCATCCCTGTGTAAAAAGCCTTCCTGGCTTGAGCCTGTTCTCTGTTGAAACAAGGTATGAACCCAAAGGATAAGAACTGAATGAGCATCCCATAGAAGCAAAGACGCAGTTAGGGCCTTTGCCCCTAACACCAAGACATAACTGGTTTAAAATGGCCCTGTTTGAAACTGGCCACAGACATGTCAAATCAAATATTAATATTTCAATATGATATAAAACTGGATAAAGTATATATTAATTGATTAGGAAGCTAATATAATGTTGTATTAGGAAATAATATCATCTCTGTTCTCCCCAATTCACATACTAATTTTATCGCAACAGATCAAAGGTAGAACTATCATTCTTTTAATTAGTCTTGGAATTCAGAAGTGTTTTCCCAATAGGGGATTTCAATGCCATTTCTGAGAAGTGTTCAGGGAGATGCAGGACTGTTGCTTAGGAAATTTATCCAGCTCATGTGTAGCTGCCTTTTATTTGCTTTCTGGTGGAGACTCTGACTTTGCTACAATAATTGGATTTGCATCCTAATACTCTTCTTACCACTGATCTCATCCTTCAATCTGCACGCTGCCTGTAGGCATCGCTATAACTCTATAGTTAAGAGAAATGCCCAGAATCCCACTCCTACCTCTTTGGTAAATTGGCCTCCAAATTGCTCAGGTCTTGATTTTACTCTGACCATTTTAGGCCACTGCTCCTGACAACTGGGAGGCCAGCCCTCTGACATATGTTGACATTAGTATCAATAGTTGATACTAATGGATTCATTTTTTAAAATCTTATGTTGTATTTTTTTTTTTTTTACAATCTTATTGACTATATTCTCTATGCTGTACTTTTCATCCCTGGGACTTATTTATTTTATAACTGGAAGTTTCTACCTCTTACTTCAAGTTTGCTTGTACTTTTTTTCTTGCTTTCTTTTGGATTACTTTTTCCAACCTCATATTTTTTTTTCTCTCAAACATATGAAGTTATATATTCTTGTAATACAAGACATTTCAATATTTATCACAATCAAGCAAGTGTATGTCAATATCTTTACCCTCTCGCTGAACAACACAAGGACGTAGGATATTTTAATACCAATGACCTCTTCTTGAATGGTATAGAATTGTTTTATATGTCAGTTCTAATCTAATCCCATAAGACATTACTATCATTTTATATAATCAATGTTCATGTAGAATTATCTACCTATTTACAATTTTCTTTGGTCTTTGTTCAGACTGTCCATCTGGATTGATTCTTCCTCTGACTAGCATAAAGGTTTATGATTTCCTTTAATGAAGGTCTGCTAACAGTAATCACTCAGCCCTTCCTGCCCCCTCACCCCTACCCCTCATCTTCTGTCATGTGGGTTGGACTGAAAATGCCTTTAGTGCTGTCTCTTTTAAGTGATAAACTCTAGACTCGCAGAACTTCTCTTTCAGCACATTGGAGATACTAGCCCCCTGGCTTCTTGCTTCCATTGCTACTGCTAAGAAGCCAATTTTGCATTTAATTGTCATTTCTCTAAAAGTAATTTCTCCTTAGCTGTTTTTAAGATATTTGCTTTGTCCTTGGTCTTCTGAAACTGCAATATGATGCATATAGATATGGAATTGTTTAAAATGTATCTTGTTTGGGATTACTGAATCTATGAATTTGTACCTTTCATCCATTCTGAAATACAACCCCTTCTCATATTCTCCTGTCCTCATTGTCGCTCACCTCTTCTCATGTTATCCATCCTGGCTCTTAATCTCTCTACCATATTTTTCATCTCTGACACTCTCCTCAGTATTACTCCTACTGAGTAATATTATAGGTCTCTTTCAAAATCTCCTAAGTCTCTCTCTATTGCTGGAATCTGGAATTTTAAATGTAATTGTGTTTTCATTCATAAAAAGTCAATTTGTTTTCAAATGTACTTCATCCCCCTTTTTAGTCAATTGCTTTTGAAGCATATTATCAATTCTAAAAGCACTTGTTTAACATTCTGTTTCTCATAATTCCAAAATATAAAGTTTTATAGTGCTCATTCTTCTGTCTTTTGTTTCTGCAGGTTCTCATTCATGGACTTTCTTTGTATTCATTGTAATTGCTTTGATGAGCTGATATTTCTTGGAAATTTAACTGTAGTAATGGCATAAGGTCTGGTTTGAGGACGGGCTCCTTTAGATACAAATAGATTGATTACACCAGGAGCCCCAAAGATTTCTAGGATGAGACATATTTAAACGAAATCCTGAGTGTGTTAGGTGGTGTGAATTGAAGTTTAAACCCACATGAGGGATAGCTTGTGATCATGAATTCTAAGGGAGAAATTTTCCTCCTCAAAACACTAAGCTTTGAGACCAACGATTTTCTTTCAGTTCTTTGAAATGATGAGCTTATTTTTTATTCATGAATACTGTGATGTTGTGTGGTCCTCTGAAATCCCAAGTTTATGTACTGGGGCTCTTATTAGACTCCTCACTTTGTCTACATTTCCTGTTTGTCCACTACCCACACATCATGAAAAAAAAAAGGTAAGTTCAATGTCAACTTGACAGATACTTTCAAGGTGAAAAACAGCTTTGCTTCTCTCTCTGCCTCTCTGGGTACCTGCTTTCACTTGGGCTTTGTGCTTTGAGCATTCCGTAATTTCTTTCCCATTCGCTGACGAATTTAAACATATTTTGAAAGTTATACAGAGTCTTTATTGGAAACTCAGGTCTCTACAGTTTGCTTTTTGATGTTTTCAGAGCTTAGATCATCAGCAACAGATGTGGGTTTCTATATGGCTGAGGAACAGGTGACTTTAGGATTGCTTCAGAATCACTGTAATTCTACTAAAAACCAATCGAGTTTGAAGGGCTAATTAACACAAATGCAGTGATATCAAC